CACACACACACACACACACACACACACACACACACACACACAAAGAAAAGTGTAGACCAAGTGTGAGTATTGGTGCTTTGTAACACTACCATTAAAGAAGCAGTGGAACAACTTCAGCAACTCATTAACATTTTTTTCAAATCTTTTGTTAGGCAAAGGGGGAGAAGTTCAAGTGCATGAAGAGGTGACGACTACAACTATAAGTACAGACACCGACAATAAGGACGCCCAGGCCCAAGTGGTCAAAGAAAAGGCACACACTCAGTCCACTTCCACTTCAACAACTTCCACTTCAGGGCCTTCTACCTCTACCAAGACCACCATCAGTCTCTCACTGCTTAGCAACCTGCAAGAAATTCGACGCCGGCTGGAATCTGCTGAATCGGGACTCAACAGTCATTTCCACGTTCCTGTAGGCGACAACAGTGTGCGCAAGTGCACCGAGTACATTCAGGAACTGCAAGTAGGGTTTCTTTTTTTGTTTTGCCTTTAAAAGTGTCTTTGTAGCGCTGACAACAAAACAAGCCTTCTAAAAGTCCTGGTAATGTCAAACTGCATAAAACTTCCATTTTGTCTGAATGGTTTTTAATACTTATTTCCAGGGTGTGCATCAAGATCTGGGGTCAATTCACGACGATTACCTGAGGCTGAGAGAGATGATTATAAAGCAGCTAAAAGGGGTRCCTGCAGACTCAGAGCAGGCCAAGTTCYTGCGCTCTGAAYTGGAACTCATCAATAAGAAACTGGGAGGACTGAATGGTCTATACGAAGCCTACATTCAAAGGTCCAGCTTTTTAGGCCACATATGTTTAAACATAATTATCAATTCAAGAAACTAAAATCAGGTTATTCTCTTTGCGTGTTGTTCTAATCTGATGACTGTGTGTCCACAACAGACTGTCTGCTCTGAAGGTTTTGCTTCAAAACCTTGTTCAGGCTGAGGATATCATTAAAGTCCACGAGGCTCGTCTTACTGAGAAGGACACCAGCTCCCTGGACCCCATAGAACTGGAAAACCATCGGAGCGCACTGAAGGTTTCAGTCACTTTCATTTTGTTTTTCTCTGTGGTTACAAGTCTTGTTTTTATCGTATTTTAGTGCATCTGACAAGTTAAAGTCTTTTCAGGCTAGATTAGGTTTCCTCACACACTTGCCTCTGTAATACAGAAATTAAACAGTGAACTTGTATTTGACTATTTTTGCTTCATTTTATTTCTAGTCCGTATATAATTTAGATAAGTTTAGTTTAGAAATAGCTATTTTTCAGGCCCACAGTTAATGTTCATTGGTGATTTAACTAAAAGAAATGTTGCATTTTGATCAATTATTTTAATACTATAAATGGGTTTGTTTGGATGTAAATTAAACAACCATATTGTTTGATTTTATCTTAAAGCACATGAAGAATGAACTGGAGCAAAGACGTGACCTGCTGACWTCTTTGGACTCTGAGCTGGCTAAAGCTCAGCACTGGAACAGTCAGATTTCTGAGCCCTTCCACAAGTGYGATGTTGATTTGTCCAGGTATTCCGAACTGGTGAACCAGATGGGTGATCGCTGGCGTCGCATCCAAACACAGATTGATAGCAGGTACAGCAGGCTGCTYAGTAAACAGAGACGTATTGTCATTGCTAGTAAGAAACACTAATGCATCCTTCCACCTCTTCCTCTTTCCACCTCAGAATGTGGGACTTGGACAAACAGAAGAATCATTTAACGCAGTATCAACAGAACAGAACTTCCGTGGAGCACTGGATAGACAATGCCAGGAAACGCCAGGACTCCCTTCAGATGGTTAAAATCAATGATATTCAGATGCTGATGGATCACCTCAACCAACAAAAGGCACGTCTTTCTATATTTACTCATACCTACAGTTAAAATAAAATGTTATGATAAAACTGTTATAGTCAGGGTTGCACATAAAATTTTTGGTCTAGTTCTCAGGGGAGAACCTAGGATTGTTGCTTGGTGCTCATATTTTTTTAAACTGCCTAAGTGGCTGAGGGGCTGGGTGTATGTCATATAAACATCACAAACAGAACATTTCATGGTTAAATGTCTTTTAGACTACACATGTCCCTCCGATGGACAACTCCTGTAGTTTGGTCTTCTGCATCGTCAACCTTGATTAAACCAGCTTTCCACAGTCTCCAGTTCAAGCAGTACATGTAAATACTGTATCTGTCTTTCACACAGATCAAAATAACTTAAAACATACAAATGTTTTATTTGTTAGACTGATTTCTTTTTAAAAATACTATTTTATTCAAAAAGATAATACTATTTAGATGGTTTCAGCTCATGTAATCATTTTTTCTTCGTATTTGATCATTTAATAAATTACCTTTATGCCAGAAAAGCTCTGTAGTCCTAAATATAAACAAGTTTAGCACATCAAGAACCTTGTTTTTGGATAAAATTGTGAATGAAATTTGTGGATCTTTATGATAAATTAAAATAAGATTTAAAACTCTTTCACCTAGAGAACATGGCAAGTTGTTTTTATTTTTTTAATATATATAATTTTTTTGACTGGGGTGTTAAACAGAGAATCATCTTTGCTTTAATACAGGGCAACCAAATGTTCCTGTTAGAGTTAATGTGGTTTTATTATAAAAACTCAAACAGTGAATCTCACAGAAAGACTCRGCCTGCGCGTGCAGTGACACGCTCCTGTCATGGCAGTCTCTCTTCAGGAGGAGAAAGTTTAGTCACTGACACAAAGTTGGACAGATCTGTTCGATAACAACATTCTGAACATATATTTAATATAAAGGTATGTTTTACAGACCAAAGTCTCTGGTAGTGCAGGAGAAGCGAAGGAGGAGATGTGACTGATCACTGCAGCAACTCGAGCCGGGCCGGCCCRCTGCTTCAACCAAACTGCTCTCACTGAAAGTTCCGCCCTGCTCTGCTCTGATTGGATAAAACGGCTCTGGACTTCGTCTGATTTGTTGAAGGCAGTGTCCGTTTAATCCTTAAATCAGGGTCCCGCTGTGGCACGATCCATTCACACCAGTGCCGCTGGATTCTTTTTAATTTTTTTAAGAAATCAGGTCGCATTTGCAACCAAATTGGTCGCACTCTAGAGCCCTGCTAGCTGTTGTTGTGACAGACAACCAGGTACAATCTTAGGTACGCAAGGGAGCTTTATGACATTCCAATTGGTGCGCTTTTTTCTTTTTTGACCGCGCATACGCACCTGCACACCGCTTATGTGCAACTCTGGTTGTAATAAAATCAGGGCTCCCAGTCACTGTAAATCAGGGAGAAGAAGGGAAAATGACTTTTTTACATTTTTTTTAGACAGGAAAAACACCACCTAAGAACTGACAGAAAATTAATTTTGATTTTAGCTGTGAACCACATTTTAGCATCATGTTTGAAAAGAATCAAACAAGCAAAGTGCTGCAAAAGGACAGCTGTTCTATAGATCTATTCAAAATTAAATGGTGAAGAAATACTCTTGTTGAAGGAATGCAAATGATACTATAAGTTCTCACAAATGCTTTTCTGTTCAACAGGCTCTTAACAATGAAATTAAAGGCAAGAARGAGAAAGTAGACACTGTGCAAAGAAATGCAGACGCCTGTGCTGCATCTATAAAGGTTGGTACACTGTACTATCTTGTCAAGATGTMACAGTCAATTACAGCTCAAATAATATTGTGTTGGATGTTTTCAGGACTATGAGCTGCAGCTTGCTTCGTACAGTTCAGGACTGGAAACTCTGCTTAATGTTCCCATCAAGAAAACTGTGCTGCAGTCCCCCGCTACTGTGGTCAGACAAGAGGTATTAGTTACAATCTTTCTTTTAGTTTATGACTTATGATTTATTTGTTGAATTTAATAGGCACTTAATTTAGTTTTGCTGCATTTGTAATATAACATAGTCAGTCCCTTCATCATAAGTGTCTCTTAAAGTTAGGAATGTAAACACTTGACTAATCGTCAACAATATTTATTGATTTTTTTTTAACTTCCATCAGGCTGCTGATGTCCAGGCTCATTATATAGAGCTACTTACTCGCTCTAGTGATTACTATAAGTTCCTGGGGGAGCTGCTGAAGAACATGGAGGAACTGAAGGTTGGCATTGGATTTATTTGTGAAAATCAATTRTAATAATTTTATACAAAAACATAGTTGGTAAAAACAAGAGCATTTTTCATGACAAAATAACTATTCAACAATGAAAAAAAGAGAAGACTGACCTGTTTTTATTGCTGATGTATTTTCAGTTAAGAAACACCAGGATTGAGATGTTGGAAGAAGAATTAAGGCGCCTAAAGGATGACCTCCAAGATCGAAATCAGAAAAATAAATCTCTGGAAGATGCTTTGGCCCGCTACAAGTTAGAGCTTAGTCAGTCAAAAGATGAACTCATTACCTTGGAGGAGGTGAAGAGAAGCACTGCAATGCAAGTTAGTGCTGCCAAGGAGAACCTGGGAACCACACAGAGTCAGATTCAAGACCTCAATGACCAGCTGACCCGCATCAAGTACCAGCTGGATGAGGAACAGAGGAAAAGAAGGCTTGCGGAAGAGCGCTATAATAGCCAGCAAGAAGAGTATGAGGCAGCTGTTCGCCGCAGACAGAAAGAACTAGAAGAGGTTAACTGGGTGAAGATTGACTTAGAGAAGGCCGTGAAGGACAGGGAACGGGAAGTTGAGAGGTTGAAGCTGCAGCTAGAAGAGGAGGCAACCCGCCGAAGAAATGCCGAGTCAGATATCTCAAAGGTAAGAACACAGTGCACCCAGGAGATCAATCAACTTAAACAGACATACGAGACAGAGATCCACGTTACCAAGACCACCATTCTGCAAGCGTCACAGCAGAAAGCGGAAGATACAGCAGATCTGAAGCTGCAAGTTCAGAAACTCACTGATGAGAAGAGGGGACTAGAGGAGGAATTCAGGAGACTGAGACAGTCCATTGCTCTTATTGAAGGGCAGAAAAATAAAGCAGAACAGGAAGTTAGTCAGCAGAGGGCCTCGGTGACACAGGAGACAAGGATCCGCACTGAGCTGGAGGTGCAGCTGAGAACGCTGAAGCAGCAGAGAGAAGATAATGATCTCAAATTAAGGGAGGCCAACAAAAATAATCAGGAAAAGTCCAGACAGATCAGCCTGCTGACGTTTAACCTGGAAGAAGAGGGAAAGAAGAGGAGGGCACTCGAACTGGAAATCAATCAGTTGAAACAAGCTGAAGCTGAGCTGAAGCTAAAGAACACTTCCTATCTAGAAACAATCAACAAACTTAAAGTGATTGAGACGGAGATCCGTGTCACCCGGGAGGAGCTGGAAAAGCAGACAACTGAGAAAACCAAGATGGAGGAGGGTTCTGTCCGGCTTCAGAACCGCATCCGAGAACTTCAATGCTCTCTGGATGGGATGGAAGCTGAGCTGGAGAAGCAAAAGAAGGCAACACAGGAGGAGTTTACTCGTAGAAAGCGAATGGAGGCCGAGTTGGAGAGAATGACACATACCTGCAGAGAGCACACCACTACTATAACCTCACTGAAATCTGTTCAGCTGGAGGCCTCAAACTCTGGCAAAAGATATGAGCAGGATATCAGGGCTCTCCAGGAGGCACTGGACAAGAGCGTGAAGGATCATAAAGTCACCAAAGAAGAACTGGCAGCAGTGACAAATGAACTGAAAACAGTAAAACAAAAGCTCCAGCAAGAACAGGTGCGAATTCATGAGCTTAACCAACGYAACGAAAGCCTTTATAAGACCATTGAGGAGAAGAGCCGCCAGCTTAACGAGTACACCACAGAAATTGAAAAGTTGAAGATTATGACACAGAACCTGACAAAGGAGAGGCTGAAGTTGGAGGAGGAGCTGAGGATGGTAAGACAGGAGAGAGATGAACTGAAGATGAGCAAAGATACCATCAATGGACAAACTGCCTCACAGATTTCAGCCTTGCATGTTCAACTTCAGAGTAGCACCAAGAGGACGACAGAGCTCCAGGTTTTCATCAATGACCTGACCAAGGAGAGAGAAAAGCTTAAAATGGAGATAGAAAAATTCCAAAAGCAATCTATTGAGGTATATTCGATCACATTGAAGGATCATGTACTTACAACTCAAATTAATCACATTGCTGCAGCATGGTTTTTTACATGTGCTTCTATGGACACAATCAGCCAGATGTTTGGTCACAGTTTCTCATTCAGCCTTAGGAGAAAGTGTGTCCAAACCTTTGACTGGCAGTGTAAACTTGTAATGTCTGTGGCACTTGTGATCATAACGCTTCCAATTGATTGACTTTTATGTTTACTTACTTGTTGCACATTTTCTTATATTTATGCATGCATTTCACCTTTTAATCTCATTTAACTTAAAGTGCCCTTGACATGCGTTTCCTCCAAACACAAAAAGTGGAAGAAAATATCTTAATATTTAGGAAGTTTGGTATAAAGCACACAATTTTACCTATTTTTTCATGTGACTGACATTTTTTTTTAACTTGGCACAGCCAAAGAGAAACAGGAAGTGATGGCAAAGGGGAACTCTCTGTTTTTAGTTTATATGAACTCTGACTATTTTTTTTCTTTTTCGCTGATGGAGACACCAGAGTCTTTGTTACTATCTACGTATATTAATCCTTGAAGCAATGCTCTGTTTACATGCAGGTATTCCCCTTTGTCAGTGGTGGGCACCAGTCCGCTAAAGCGCAAATCCACTAATTGCAGACCTAAATATTTCATTTGCACTTTAGCTGTCTTAATTTTTATAATTCATAAGCAAATTTGCTCTTTCTAAAATTAAAATGCAGTACTCCTAATAACTAATTATCTACCAGTCATCATTATCATGAACAGTGGAAGATATGGCTATCAATGAATCACAACACACGTGATCTATCAAACAGCACCCCTCCCATATAAACTCACTTATTGAGAAGGTATACATCCTTGCTGACTGTTGCTTTCGGCCACGGTTCTCATTT